GGTTTAGGGGTTTAGTTTAGGGCTTAGGGTCAGACTGCAGTGTTGAAAGTTCAAGATTTAATCGCACAGGTAGGCGGAGACGGACCCACTGTGATGCGTTGCACCCCTACACCCCTCGACCGAAACCCCTAAACCCGAAAGCCCTGAACCTTGAATCATGACTAAAACCCAGCACCCTGAAAGGGCCCCTGCTACACACACGTCATAGCGACCCCTGCAAAGGAACCCGTATGTGCAAGAAGCACCACTTGAAGGATCAAGGGAGGAGCAAGTAGGCTGATAAGTGCGGAAGAAACTATAGCTATCATATCTGCTTATCATCATCCAAAACAGAAGCACTGATCACCCTGCTTCCTAGGTCCCCTGCGATCCTTGATTCAACCCCCTTAGATCTTAGATCCTAAGCCCTTTCCTGGACCCTGGAAAACCTACCTTTTTCAGGACTTTATGTAAGGAAATCATAAAAAGGATCCCTAAAACGGTAGGTTATTTGGGGTTAAGGTAGTTATAAGAAGCCCTAAACTTAAAGTTGGCTGCTGAGGTGCTGATGGTACGTGGTCAGACGAGGCATCTGTCTCTGGGCTTTTCAATACCATACTTTAATACTTTTTTGGTGGGACCTGTTCCTTAAAGGAACCATTATACAATAAAAGTCTATACTTTTGTCTCCCTGGTTACTTCAAAGCCCAGGTCTGGTTGCGACGTGACGGCCTGGTCCACCGGCAGAAGTACGTTGGCGCATGCCTGCCTGAGGACACTTGGAGACCGGAGTTCAGAGTTTAGGGGTTGAGGGTCTAGGGTTTAGGGGTTCAGGGTTTAGGGGTTGAGGGTAAGGGGGTTTAGGGTTTCCGGTTTAGGATTTGGGGTTTAGGGCTTGGGGGTTGGGGGTTAAGCGGGGTAAGAAAGGGGTTCATGGACTGATGAGGATCTTTGTGAGGGGCTTAAAAGGATTTAGAGTAAGTCAGTGTGAGAGCTGTTTGAAACCTGTTTGCGTTTCTTTGTTTAGTCATTAAGCAAACAAACGCAAACACGTTTCTAAAGCTCTCACACTGACTTACTCCAAATCCTTTGAAAGCTTAATCTAGCCTCAAAAGTGTGAACTTGTTGGGTCTCTCAGAGTCCAGGATAGCAAAGTCGTTCCTATTTTGTGGCGTTCAAGTGGCACGGCGAGCGCAACCCCAAATGAAGTGTTGCATTCCCGTCTTGTCAAAGTTCGTCCAGCCCTCTCTCTCTCTCTCTCTCTCTCGCTCCGTCTCGCCGCACATTAATGCTATCTATCTATCTGTCTATCTACTACTGCAGGACGAAAGTTCGCCATGCATCATAAACTTAAGACAGAACACCACATGCCCGCTCCTTTTCCCCCATAGACTCCTAGCACAACCTCCTGCAGCTCTCCGCCGGAAACTATATAGTAGTATATTTTCATTCCCGGAAATTAATTACTCCGCCACGCTAGCCACGTAAAACAGGTCTTGGGTCTCTCCGCTTCTCCGCGGTACATGTTATCGTTAGTGGCAACGTAAGCTGCGTGTCGAAACTTTCGGCCCGGAGGTGTATTTATCTATCTATCTGTATGTGTGTATATATATATATATACATGTATAACATTTGTTGAATATGTATGTGTGTTTATTTGTGTTATTTGTGCATTAAAGATGTGACTGATATGGGCATGCTATTGTTTGCTGTCTGTTTGTGTTGCATAACATGTTCTCTTGAACATGTCGTTCTCCTACGTCGGTGTTCTGTTAAACAGTAGTTTGCATTAGGTAGGGTTTTTCTCTTAGACAGGGCTGTCTGCTAAAGAAGTGTTGTACGAGCTGGGTGGTTTTGACTCGGTTGGCTTGGCCTGAGAACTTCTAAAAGTCAAACTTCTTAAAGCGAGCATGTATAATTTCGTGTCTTTGCATGTATGTATATGTACGCACACATGTGTATATGTATGTGTGTATATATATATATATATGTATTGTATGTACGTATGTATGTATGTATGTATGTATGTATGTATGTACGTATGTATGAATGTATGTATGTATGAATGTATGTATGTATGTATGTATGTACGTATGTATGTATGTATGTATGTATGTATGTATATGTGTGTATATGCATGCATGCAGGAATGTATGTATGTATGTATGTATGTATGTATGTATGTATGTATGTATGTAAACATATGCGTTATGTTATGTACGTATATATGTGTTCTTGTGTATTTGTGTGTATACATAGAGAGAGAGAGAGAGAGAGAGAGAGAGAGAGAGAGACAGAGAGACAGAGAGACAGAGAGACACAGA